GAGTGCCTGGTCCAGGGGCCAGCTACTCCAATTCCGTTTAGCTTCCTCTTCATGTGCCTGGGAGATAGCAGATAATGGTTCAAGTAGTTGGGTCTCTGCTATCCACACGTGAGATCCAGATTGAGTTCCTGGCTCCTGGCTTTGGCCTCACTTCATCCCAGCTATTGCAGGTATTTGGGGAGTGAACCAAGGAATGGGAAAAAAAATATGGAAAAAAAAATCTCTCCCTCGCTGTCACTCTACTTTTCAAATAAATACATAAATCTTTACTTTAACAAATATGAATGAGGTTGGAACAGTAATACACAGGACAATACTCAAGAAAGGGCAACAACCTCAAGAGCCATGGTGAGGACTAGAACACCCTGTGACAGCAAATCCCTTGACTCAATTTGCTTAATAAAAATGTCCCAGGGTCCAAGCCAGTAATCAGTGTCATGCGGGGCATGACCAACCTGTCCACCATCTCTGTTCTGGCCGCTCCAGCAATGCCCAGAGCTCGAGCCTGAGTCCGGCTAGGCCACGGTGGGGGAGAAGGCAGGAAAGCCTGCCCCCAGCCTTCAGAAACAGCTCTGTTCCCTGCTTTGCTTCCCACACCCCTCTTTGCTTCCCACACCCCTCTCAATGTCTCCTTGCTCTTGCCTGCCTGTTTTCTAGTCCCCTTTCTCCTACCTGGACCTTAATTCTTGGTAGAAGTCTCTCTATTTGACATAGGTATGTGACAGGATACTAGAAGCAGTAAAAAACAGGGCTGGGATGATGGGTTTTTCATGCTAACACCTTTCAAAGTAGTTGTAGAGGGCCCAAATAAGGGTTTTTGGAAGAATTTAACATTTTCCCTCCCTATTCCTATTGATGGCTGTCCCTTCCTGTGGAGGTGACTGTGAGAGGGGAGTAGAGAAGGCCTCACAGCCACACAGGAGACCCGAGCGAGCACCAGGAGGAGTAGCAGGAAGCTACGAGAGCAGGCTCTTCCTCCACACTGGGCCTGTCTGCTGGGGGAGAAATGGCACCCAGACCCCCGAGGAGGACCTAAAGCATTTCTCCTGTTTCTGGGGGGCCTTGCCACAGTCTCACAGGGATGTCACACCAGAGGGGTCAACCTGGCCATCCACAGCAGCACGGGATGCGCCAGGCTACAGAGAGCCAATCTGGCCATCCAGGAAGAAGTTGTGGGAGGGATCTAAGAAAAAGGGGAACACATCCTACCTCTGGGGGGAGAAGCACCTGTCCAGTCCCTGGGGGCGGGCCGCTGCACGGTTATGCACTTTCTTCTCTTCCACGCCTCTCAGCCACTTTCACCTGCCATTTGCACATGGCTGTTCCTTGGTTCGTTAAAAAAGTCCCCACCACCCACCTAAACCGCTGCCACGACACTCCCAGAGAGGACACCAGTCGTCACCACGCTCCTTTCTGTCTCAGAATAGCAGCTCTGCAGGTAGCATGTGAGAATTAGGGAGGATCACGCATAGGCTGCAGCAGCCTACCGCCGGCACTAACAAGGCCTTCCTGTCCCTCGCTGAACCTGGGCTCCCGGCCCTGTCTGCTCCTCTTAGGCGGGCCCCTGGTGACTCACTGGCTGGTACCCATGACGCTCAGGGCTACAGCAATCAATGGCTTCTCCGCAGCTGCACAGAGGTCCTCACTTCTCTTGGGCACCCAGGACCCATTCCAAATAAGCACCAGGTCTTCAAAGCCACTGCCCATCTGCATGAGCCCTGCCTGTTCGAGTTCCAGCAGCAAAGCGGAGTGCGCTCCAGCTACCATTTGACCTAACAAAAGCTCCTTGGCAATTAAAGTAATTCGGAATGCTCCAGCCAGCTTACTGAACTGATCTCTTTTTAAGTACCCATAGTTTTCTCTGCAGTCATTTTTCTTTCAGCCGCTTTCCTTGCCCCTATTTCCTTCTCTACATGGAAACTGCATTTGTCTTTTCACTTCTGATCATTTATTTAAGACCTCTGCCTTATTTTTCAGAGGAGTTTAGCCAGCTACTTACAGCCTTGCCAGTAGTATTATCCTGTATTTGATTGCTTCATTTTTCTTCTCAAATACATATTTAGCTTCTCTGACTTTCATTTAAAATACACTTGTTAGTTAGTCATCATTGATGGGGTATTTCTGCAGTATTCTTGGTGTATTAAAGAAGTTAAATTTTGGTTTCTGGCCCAAGAAAACTGAAAAAGTCATTTCTCTTCCTGAATAGTAAAAACCTCGATACCTGAATCCATCTAGAGTTAATAAAAATACCCAATAAAAGGGAAATCAGAAACACTAGACAGTAGTGCATGCTCATTAAGGTGTCCTGAGAACAAAAAACAGATGTTGTTTCAAAAATAAATGAAAAGGGTAATCTTCTGATACTCATTATCAATTATTCTCCCCTCTGGAAGAGGGACAAAAACAGGACAAACAGCAAAATGTGACAGTGAGATGTGGCCAGAAATACATACGAATCTGGAGGTTCTGGACTTGCATCGCCTTAGCCATCTGGCTGCCTCCCCCTGTAAGTGGTAGCTGTGTGGTAAGTGTGACTGTGTACTGCATTACACACAATCATTGCTCAAGTCCCAAGTGCTCCTGTCCTCCTAGGGTAAGTACGGCACCTGCCTTCCCTGGGATCCAGGGCTAGTGTTCCCATCTGATGTTCCCCCATTTCAAAGAATGCATTCAGACTTGAGGGACTGGAGGATTTGTCAGCTTTACTTGAAAACTCTAAAAGGCGGGCAGGTGCTGCTGTGGCCCAGCAGGTTAGGCAGCTGCTCGAATTCCATATGAATTATGGTTTGAGCCCCAGCTGCTGTGCTTTCAATCAAGCTCCCTGCCAGTGTGCCTGGGAAAGCAGAAGACAGCCCAAGTACTTGGGCCCCTGCAGCCATGTGGGAGACCCAGATGCAGTTCTGGGCTCCTGGCTGTTGCCACCATTTGGGGGAGTGAACTAACAGATGGAAGATCTCTTTGTTTCCCTCTCTGTTATTCTGCCTTTAAAATCAATCAATCAATCAATCTTAAAAAAAAAAAAAAAACCTGTAAGAAGGATATGGGGGCTGGTGCCGCGGCTCACTAGGCTAATCCTCTACCTGCGGCGCCGGCACACCAGGTTCTAGTCCCAGTCAGGGCACCGGATTCTGTCCCGGTTGCCCCCTTCCAGCTCTCTGCTGTGGCCCGGGAGTGCAGTGGAGGATGACCCAAGTGCTTGGGCCCTGCACCCCATGGGAGACCAGGAGAAGCTCCTGGCTTCAGATCGGCGCAGCGCTGGCTGTGGCGGCCATTTGGGGAGTGAACCAACGGAAGGAAGACCTTTCTCTCTGTCTCTCTCACTGTCCACTCTGCCTGTCAAAAAAAACAAACAAACAAACAAACAAAAAAAAAAAAAAAAAAAACAAGGCTACGGGAAAAGCCCTTCTCTATATCTTTCTCTATATCTGCATGAGAAATGGGAACGGCAATCCTCCTCTCCCCCACTCCACCCTACTGGCAAAGGTCCTTTTGCAGTGCTGTTGCTCTCCAGCCAGCCATCCCCACAGGCTGCCTCTGGGCAATTTCATTTTAAGGAGGATGAGGAATGGGGTTGCAGCTGTGAGTGGGTGAAGGGGTCACAGGAAGTCCATTGTCCTAAACACGCCTAACAACCCCGTGGTGAGGCTACTCATTAACTAGCAGAGCCTCACAATAAAACCCAGCATTTACATGGACACCTACCATTTATCAAGTGGCACAGCCATCTCTTATCACGCCTGATAATTGCTCAAGGCCCAGCCTTCAAAAACAATGCACCCTCTATGCGTGTGGTGTCTTGTTTCTCAGTTACAGCCTCAATTGTTCCCACAGCAGCCACTGCAGGGGATGAGGCTGGATCAGAGGGTGGCATGCCTCCCTTCCCCCACCCCATGCAAAAACCGGGAGCCAAGAAGCCAGCCCAAGAGCGGGGTCCCCAGGCTGCAGCCTTGAGGTTTTCCTGTCCCACTGTGGGAAGCATCACACCTCGCTCATGAGCAGTTGACAGGACTGACGCATTTTAATGGGGGAACACTGGTGTAGCCTAGGAGGTCTTTGGCTCTGGTCGAGATGTGGCGGCCGTGTGCGAGGCCACAGAAAGAGAGGGCAGCCATGAGAGCTGGAGAGGTGGCCACCATCCCCTTTATCACTTGATCAACTTCAACATTTTGACACCTTAGCCCAAAATCCACGAAAAGGAGTAAATCCTTCTACGGGAAGGAGTCTTTTCCAGCCACACCTGTCATTTTCTCTCTCCTCTTGTTAGCTCCGAGGCTATTAAAAAATTGAACCAAAGCTCCCCAGTGCTGCTGCGTAGGCGCTAAGAGTGCACAACACATTTCAGCACCAGCCTTGGGGACAGACGCCATAAGGAAGGAGGGTTGGGGCGGGGGGGGGGGGCGGGGGGGACAAAAACAAAAGCCTCGCTCTGTCTCCAGCCACCGCCAGAACCGCGTCCCGGGCTGCTGGGGAATCCGGAGGGCCCCGAAGGCACTCGCCAAAAAGATCTGCCCAATAAAACGGCCAACAAGCCCCTCCAGCGCCTTCGCGGAGGTCCTCCGCACCGGGGATGTCCCTGCGGGGAAACCGCAAACGCTCTGCGACCTATATAAGAAGAAGGGGGTCTCCCAGGAGCCTCCTCCAGCCCGAGCGAGGGGACGACCCGACCCCCGGGAGGTCCCTCAATGTGCGGGCGGGCGGGGAAGACCTGCTCTCGGGCTCCTCAAAGACTCGCCAGGAGGGTCCGGGGTTGGGAGCACCCGCACCTGGCGGCGCCAGAGTCCACCTGTGCGGCACCACGGAGGCCCGGCTCGCGGCCAGAAAACCACAGGTCTTTGTGTCGCGTGCGGCCACGGGCAGCTTTAGGACGACACAAGCGCCAAAACCCTTCCTCCAGTTCCAAAGACTTTTCCCGCGCGAGTTTCCCTTTTGTTCCCGGCCTGCCAAGCCCAAGAGAACGAGGGCTTGGGCAGTTCCCCGCGGTGCGCAAGGCGCCCACTTACCAGGAGCGGGGCGCGCGCGCCGAGGGCGCAGCTCACACGCGGGGCTCCTCTCCGGCCGGGGGCAAGCAGGCGGCGGGAACGCCGAGCGGCATCGCACCTCATCCGGCCGCGGGGCTCGGTGGCGAGCCGCGGCGCCTTCGGGCTCGCGGGGGAAACGCACGCCTCGCGCCCTCGCCGCCCGTGGGGTCTCCGGGCCTCGTCACCGGCCCCGCCCCACGCCCCTCGCCGGGCAGGGCAAAGACGTCGCGAGGCCGGGGGTGGGCGCAGGTGGCCGACCCCGCCCTCCGGCCGGCTGGGGAGTAGGCGCCCGGACGCTGGACACTTCGCCTGCTCGGCCCCCTGCGCCGCGTCAGGCCCGGACGCGCTCCACCGCGGGCGACCCACTGCCCTCGCCTCCTTCGCCCCGCGTTGGTCGCGCCCACTCCGCAGCAGGGTCTCGCCCAGCGCCCGGGAGGGGCCGGGAAATCCCGCCCGCCGCCGCCGACGTCATTGGTGCGTCACGGGGCTCCCGCGCCGGGGCTCCGCGCGCTCCGCGCCCCCCGCCCTGCCTGGTGCGCGCGTCGCCCAGGGACCACGGAGGTGGGGCTGCGGCTGGGGGTAAGGAGACCACGGTCCTCTCGGGCTCCCGCGCCCTCAGAGCCAAGTACGGCGGGGCGCGGCGGATCCCCACCGTCGCCCTCGGAATTCCTCAGCTAGCGCGCCCCGCAGGTGCAGGAGAGTGGAGCAGCGCACTCATCCCTGTCAAATCCCGCGCTGACGTCGCTTGGCCGCGGGGAGGGAGGGCCGCACCAGCCCCCGCTGTGGGCGCGGGAGCGAGGTCGGCTCAGCCGAGGCAGGGCAGGGCCGCGGTGTGTGGTCGCCGGCGCGCGCCGTCCGATCCCCGCGGGGCGTGGACACCGGCTCCCCGGGGGAGTCCATGGCGACCCCCGGCTGCAGGTAGCGGCTGCCCGCCGGGGACCTCGGCCCTTGGGAACTGGAAGCGTTTTGTGATGGACGTGTTTGAAACCTCTCGATTTTCACAGACCCTTGCGTGTAGGGGAAGACAAGCCCCGTTTGTTTTCTAACTCTTGATAAGGCAATATGAAATCTTCAGAATAGAGGAGCGATTGAAAACAGCACCACCACCTTTCAAGCAGGCTGTATGGCCAGTTTCTCTTAAATTTCGTTTTTATTAAAACAGCAGATCCTGACTGACATGTAGGGTATGTAGCTTGAGAACTCGCGTGCCTCGCTCACACGCGCCATAGGCCGCACGCGCGCCTCGCCGTGAGCGCCACGGGCGCACCTGCGTGCTGGGGAGAGGGCCCCGTGGAGTGGCGCAACGCCCCGACGCCCGGGCGCCTGGCGGACGCCAGTGCGCGATCTGAAAGGCTCACCACTGATTTTTTTGTTCATGGCTCCCAAGGGCCCATTTAAGACACGAGATTAAACCACGGTGAAATGACTTCGGCAGTACAGACCTTGATTTTTCCTGTTGCTTAGTCTTGTTCTTCAGCGTGATGTTTGCTCTTTCTATACTAGTTCCTTTTTTTTTTTTTTTTTTGACAGGCAGAGTGGACAGTGAGAGAGAGAGACAGAGAGAAAGGTCTTCCTTTTGCCGTTGGTTCACCCTCCAATGGCCGCCGCGGCCGGCGCGCTGCGGCCGGCGCACCGCGCTGATCCGATGGCAGGAGCCAGGAGCCAGGTGCTTTTCCTGGTCTCCCATGGGGTGCAGGGCCCAAGTACTTGGGCCATCCTCCACTGCACTCCCTGGCCACAGCAGAGGGCTGGCCTGGAAGAGGGGCAACCGGGACAGAATCCAGCGCCCCGACCGGGACTAGAACCCGGTGTGCCGGCGCCGCTAGGAGGAGGATTAGCCTAGTGAGCCGCGGCGCCGGCCATAAGAGACTTTATCTTTAGTCCATCCTATGGGATCCTTTAAAAATTTCTTCCTTGGGGCCAGCATTGTGCCGGCATCCCACATGGGCACTGGTTCACATACTGGCTGCTCCACTTCCAGTCCAGCTCCCTGCTAATGTGCCTGGAGAAAGCAGCAGTAAATGACCCAAGTGCTCAGGCCCTTGCCAACCGGGAGGGAGACCTGGTTGTAGCTCTTGGCTCCTGGTTTCAGATCGGCTTAGCCCTGGCCACTGGGGCCATCTGGGGAGTGAACCAGTGGATGGAAGATCTCTCCTCTCCTCTCCTCTCCTCACCTCTCCTCTCCTCCCCTCCCCTCCCCTCCCCTCCCCTCCTGAACTCTTTCAAATAAATAAATCTTCAAAGAACATGTTTGGGAGCCTCTGCTGTGGCCTGGGAGGGCAGTGGAGGATGACCCAAGCGCTTGGGCACCTGCACCCGCGTGGGAGACCAAGAAGAAGCACCCGGCTCCTGGCTTCAGATCAGTGCAGTGCCAGCCGTAGTGGCCATTTGGGGAGTGAACCAACAGAAGGAAGACCTTTCTCTCTGTCTCTCTCTCATTGTAACTCTACCTGTCCAAAAAAAAAAAAAAAAAAGAATAACATGCTTGATAATCATCAAACATAACGATTCTCTTTGTTGTAAACCTCTGAAACCTTCCCCCATATACAACAAAGAGGCTTTACATCTGTTGATCCTCTCCCTGAAATGTGCAGAGTCCAGCACAACACGGAGGCAGTCTTACAATGTGCGTGCAGGCTCACTCGCAGCTCTTTCATCTCCCCGTCAGTCCACTTCATATGTGTTGCAGCCTGACCAAAGAACAATGTCATAATCCTCAAATGCGGGTGTTAGGACTTCATGAATACACCGTGGCATTAATTCCGCCCCCGCCTCTGCGCAGGACCTATTGTGAAATCATGAATAATTAACAGCCTTTTCTCTTCCTGAGGACGATTCATAGTTCCCTTTTTGTGTTCTTTTACCCTGCAAGAAATTTTTCATAGGTCGTCTCCCCTATTTTCTGCTTCGATTGCTTCATCTTCACAATGGAAATCGTTGACGTCATCATCATCATTGTCAGCAGGTGGACCTAAGACACCTTCCAAGTTCTACTCAGGAGCGCCCCTCATCATGATGTCAGTATCTGGTTTCAGCCTGAGAGCTCCAAGCTTAGCTTCATTCTCTGCAGGTTCGCCTTTACTGTTGAGTCCCCCAGTAACTTTTGGTGCCCTGGCAGCTCCCTGAGAAGCTCTGAGATCCAGCACAGTATCATCCTCTGAAAGTGTAGTGGCTGATTTTCCTATGCAGCCCATTTTATGATGACAGGAGAGCTATTCTTGAAGCACGTGAGTAAGCAGTTTTCCTTCAGGGGGAAAAAACCCCTGAAGTGCAGCAGAATCAGCCGCAGGTGCAGGGATTGCCTTTTTTTTTTTTTTTTAAAGATTTATTTTATTTATTTGAAAGAGTTACAGAGAGAGGTAGAAACAGAGAGAGAAGTCTTTCATCCGCTCGTTCACTCCCCAGATGGCCGCAATGGCCGGAGCTGCGCCGATCTGAAGCCAGGAGCCAGGAGCTTCTTCCAGGTCTCCCACGGGGGTGCAGGGGCCCAAGGACCTGGGCCATCTTCTACTGCCTTACCCAGGCCATAGCAGAGAGCTGGATTGGAAGAGGAGCAGCCAGGACTAGAACTGGCTCCCATATGGGATGCTGGCGCTTCAGGCCAGAGCTTTAACCCACTGCCCCACAGCGCTCCCCCCACCCTTTTTAAAAGAAAGTTATATAGGTACCGCATACTGCATTTAAATTTCAACAGATCCAAAGCCTGGCTCGTTATTGTCACCCCAATATCTAATTCTTCTGCATGTCCTGCCTCAGTAGCAGAACAGGAAGAAGACAAATGGTCTAAGGAAGTAGACCAAGAAGTGGATCCCCAAACCGGCGGCATCAGGGTCTCCTGGGAACTCATTAGAGTTGGAGATTCTGAGGGGCTGAGTTGTGGTGCAGCCTGTAAAGCTGCCACACCCAAAGCTGCCATCCTGTATGAGCTCCTGTTCGAGTCCCGGCTGCTCCACTTCTGATCCAGCTCCCTGCTAATGGGCCTGGGAAAACAGTGGAGGACGGCCCAAGTGCTTGGGCCCCTGTGCCCATGTGGGAGACCCTAGATAGAGTTCCTGGGCCTGTTGCAGCCATTTGGGCTGTGAACCAGCAGATGGAAAATCTCTCTCTCCCTCTAACTCTTTCAAATAAATAAAATAAATCTTGAAAGAATTGAAGATTAAGAATTGAAGACTCTCAGGCCCCACCCCATACCTTGGGAATCAGGAACTCTGCAGTGGTGCCCAGTGGTCTGTTTTAACAGGCTCTGCAGGTGGTTCTGATTCTATCCATCTGGTCATCACCCGACTCCAGGACACTGTGTGCCAGGGTTCTTTATCACTAGTAGTACTCCTTGTTCTGAAGTCATCTTTGTCTAACATCTTTGTGGTCACCGTGGATGTCTTACTATCGCATTTGCATGATACCTGTTTCTATGATTTTACTTTCAAAAAATCTCCCTGTGGAATTCTCTATTTTTGTAGACAGCAAGACAGCATAGAGTTGATCTTGCTCTCTCTCTCTCTCTTTTATTTTTATTTTTATTTTTTTTTAAGATTTGTTTATTTATTTGAGAGGGAGAGCCATCTACTGGTTCACTCCCCAAATAGCCGCAAAGGCCAGAGCTGAGCCCATCCCATCTGAAGCCAGGAGCCAGGAAATTCTTCCAGGTCTCTCATGCAGGTTCAGGGGCCCAAGGACTTGGGCCATCTTCCACTGCTTTTCCAGGCCATAGCAGAGAGCTGGATTGGAAATGGAGCAGCCAGGACTCAAACCAGTGCCCATATGGGATGCTGGCACTTCAGGCCAGGGTGTTAACCTGCTGCACCACAGCTCCGGCCCCTGGCCCCCCTTTTTTTTAACTTAAAGATTTATTTTACTTATTTGAAAGGCAGACTCGGGGCAGGAGGCGGGAGACAGAAAGAAGGAGATCTTTTATCTATTGGTTCACTTCCCACATGGGCACAACTGCCAGGGCTGGGCCAGGCCAAAGCCAGGAGCCAGGAGTTTCATCCAGGTCTCCCACATGGGTAGCAGGGACCCAAATACTTGAGCCATCTTCCTCTTCCTCTCCCTAGGCCATTAGCAGGGAGCTGGATCAGAAAAGGAGCATCCAGGACACAAACTGGCACCCAAATGGAATGCTGGCTTCATGGGCAGTAGCTTTACCTGCTGTGCCAAAGCGCCGACCCAAGATCTTGCTATTTTTATTCAGTCTGACATATCTGTGTTTTTAATTGAGTGTTTAGATCATTTCCTTCATATGTAATTTTCATACAGTTAGGTTTAAATCTATTATCTTGCTATTCTTTTTTGCCATTTTATTCGTTATCTATTTTTCTCTGCTTTCTTGTAGATTAACACACTATACTTTAGTACCATATTTTATCTCAAGTATTGGCTTATATTTTTTCTCTCTCTCATTGTTCTAGAATGTATTTTTTTCCAAAGATTTATTTATTTATTTGAAGGGAGGGGAAATGGGAGAGGGAGGGGGAGTGGGAGAAATCATCTTCCATGGGGCCAGTGCTGTGGCACAGTGGGTTAAAGCCCTGGCCTGAAGTGTCAGCATCCCATATGGGCACTGGTTCTAGTCCCGGCTGCCCCTCTTCCGATCCAGCTCTGTGTTATGGCCTGGGATAGCAGTAGAGGATGGCCCAAGTCCTTGGGCCCCTGTGCCCACGT